AAGATAGAAGTTTCAAAATTATACAGTTACAAAAATAGTAGAACACTGTGAATAATAGGTAACTCAAAATTTAACAAAAAGGGGGAGAATTCTAGAAAATTATTATCTCTCTTTATTATGCACTCGTACATAACTAAACATCTGTATAGTGGCCAAAATTTTACATAATATAGCATATGAGAGTGTCCTTTGGAGTGGGGGAATTGTTAGATACATAAAAATGCAACTAAGGACAAATATAAATTTAAACAATAAGTAGCAAAATTTACCTTTTTGATCAGCTCATGTTTTTGGAAATAAGGTATTATTTCAGTAAATTTGATTATTTAAAAGGGAATTAGCTTGAAAACATTTTGTATCTCAACTGTGGTTAATGTCGCATTTTTTTTAGAATGAAGAAGTGAGAAGTTTTAAAGATAATGTGTTTACCAAACAAAAAGAGAAGGTCAATTTATTGTTGCCAGATGAAAATGCAAAGTCAAGTGGCACACAATATTAGTTATGGTTTGAACCTATCGACGTCACGTTTATAGGGAAAAGAGGTATTAAAACTTTAGTATATTTTTTAATTTTTGATTTTTTTGTAGCTATAAATTTTTAATTCAATGTTGATGTTTGAGCTGATTTGAAAGATTAGACAATGCCATCGACATTTTTCATACTTTAATAAAGTTATGGTTGACTATATATGTATATGTTTGTCGAGCATTCTAGTAGTTTATAATATATTGTTTTTGTTTTGTGATTTCGAAAATTTATTCTGTCTTTGATTTGCAACTTTTGAAAATTCTGATACTTACTTTGTATAAATCTAACACCTTCGAGTATTATTATATCGATTTATATTCAGTTCAAGAAAGTTGACAGTAACTATCACCATAAGAAAATGAAGATAACGATATAAATTATAAGTCCGTGACATTTTTTTTTGTTAATCGTTTAGCAGTCTTGGTTAAGAATCAGAAAAATAATTTAAAAATGATAAACTTTTTAAAAGTAGTACAATTTATTTTGATTGACATAAAGAAAAATAAGAAAAGAGATATTATAATTTAAATATAATTGTGTATAACATAAAATTGTTGGGCAATATACAAAAGTTATACTAAGGTCGAAGTCTTTTCGAAAGGCAGGAGTTGTCTTTATAATTATCATAAATTTCATGATAGATTTATGTAATTTTCATATTTTGAAGAAAAGATATTATGTGATTTGCTCTATTATTATTTTATTATTTGGTAGTAAATTGACGTACTTGATTAGCAAACACATTTTATTTGTTGTTTGTGCTAAAGGGCTAAATTCTATGAGGTGACATAGGGCATAAATGTAAATTTGTTATTTTGAATTGGATGTGACAAAAAATATGTTATTTCTTGAATTCCGTAAGTGGATGAATTGTCCCATAAAGTAGGCCAGACAAATTAATTTTTTAGTACAATGATGAGGTAACATTCAACCACTATATATCTCATCTTTACCTACCACACAAAAGACTTCACGCTTTCATTTTCTCACCAAACCCTCTATAATTATGGTTCAGCTCTTTCTTTTGACCCATTTTTTAAAACAAGAACAACTATTATAGAATTAATTTGCAGTGTTTTAAAATTAAAATTAAAATGTGTAAAATATTAATACAAATACAAAATAAAGTTTCTGCTTCTTTCAAAATGTTAGCTACTTCCTTTTTTTTCTTTTAACATAAAATTATTACAAAATTGAATCTTGAACATATATCAGAGTTTTGATTTTCAAAATTCATAGTGCTAAAAAATTGTCTCACATTTTTATTGAAAAATCAAATGTGAATTGTCTGCTAAAATTTTAAATTCCCATCATTCATCCATGACTAAAATGATATCGCTAATCCTATATTGATTTCATGCTTTCCTTTTCTCACCAACCCCTCTATAGTTATGCTTCGACTCTTTCTCCCATTTATAAAACAAGAATAACTACTATAGAATTAATTTGCATTGTTTTAAAATTAAAATTTGTAAAATATTAATACCGATACAAAATATAGTTTAAGCTTCTTTTGAAATCTTTCTACTTCTAGGATACTATGAAGTCACTATGTTGTCTGTGTTGTACATCTATAAATACAATCCGAATTCCAAGGAATAAAGATATCTATACACGAGATATATGTTTGTCCTCTAGAATGACAAATTACAAACAAGTTAATGCAAGAAAAAGATGCAAACGATTGTTTTATTATACAAGAACAAGGGAATAACGAANCCCAGAAGTCCAGCATGGGCGGCCGACGATTATTGACTATTGATCGCAACGATAGGAATGACGATATTGATTATTAATTTTTAATTAAATAATATTAAAAATTATTCAATTAATATATAAATACACTAAAACGTAGGAATGATATAATATGAAAATATAATCCAATACAACCAAAATAAAAAAGAAAAATAAGTAATACAACTTCACTTTGTAACTGTACGCTCAGATAATTGGAATCTCTGTGATCTCATATTTTGAAAGCGCTACAAGATTGTCTCATTATCAAATTTTTAAAAAACTTCTTGCTCAATGTACACTACCAAATTGTCATTCAACCAGTCATCCCCCATTTTGTTGCGTAAGTCACTCTTGATTAGATTCATAATAGAGAATGTCATTTCAACACTTGCACTTGCCACTTGTAGTTTCAATTTCAAATTTCCAACACCAATTTATCACAAATTTCTAAATTCCCCAATGAACAAATTCCCAAAATTTTCAATTCACAAATTCCCCAATTAACAAATTTTCAAATCTCTAAATTTACCAATTAACTAATTCCCAATTTCCCTAATTCGAAAATTCACAAAATTTTCCACTTCATAAATTAGTCAAAGAAAAATATTGAAATAAAATAAAAAAGCAATAAATTAAAGTAAGTTAACTAATTAAATATATTAAACATATATAATTCTGCTAGAAAATAAATTGTGTTTACCAAATGATATTGTGGCCAAGTTTTTATAATTCAAAGGAAAGATCACGGGTTCGACTAGTTATAATTACAATTGCATTAAATCGAGTCCAACCTAGCATATATTATTTTGCTAAATTTAGTGTGAATTGAAGTGCCATAATGGTCAAGCCTTTTTTAACCTAGCACAAGGTCACAAGTTCGAATCTCATCCAGCCCTCCCTATTGCATTGAATTTTAGTAAAAATAGTAGAACTAAAAATAATTTTCAAACAAGTATGTTGGGAAGGGATTCGAACCCGGGACCTACAACGTAAAAATGCAACATCTAACCAATTGAGCAACAAAATATGTTTGAAAAATAAATGAATTCCAGTAATATAAGCTTAAAAGTTTATCTATTATCAAAAAAAAATTGCTCATACGGATCCAACACGGGCAAAGTCAAGCTCAAGTAGGGACAGTACGGGAGGTCGCGATGGCTTATCAGCTGCTGGATCCGCCCCTACATGCAAGTGGTAATGACATTCCTAGAAATTGCCTCATAGTACAGGCAAAGTCAAGCTCAAGTAGGGACCATTGCTTTTAAAACGCGTAATTTCTGATTTCATGCAAGTGGCAATGACATTCCTAGAAATTTCTTCGAAGGATGATATTTCCTTTTGAGATGTCCCATCTTGTAGAAAATGATAGCAAGCCCTTTCTATTACTTGGAACCTTCACCTTTTGAATTATTCTTTCTTTTCTTGTCATGGTATCATTGATGATCATCATTCCTTTTCAAGCCTTTTTTATCCACCATATAAACTTCAGTGAATTGATCTATGTTTTCCTCGAAACTAATTGTTCTGAATTCCACCTCTATCTAGAGATATCAGTCCAAATCCTCAATGTGTGTCATTCTTTTGGAGCTTAATTATCCATGATGAACAAAACAAAAAAGGATTCATCTATATTGATATCATACTGTTTAAATTGATTATAGATGTATACAATTTCATGAGTAATGTTTAAATAGTCAGATTTCTATCATCTAAAAATAAATAAATCAACATTTTAGTATTTAAGGTTAAAAATCCTAAATCGCTTAAATACTTGAATTACTCCTTTTAACAAGTATGGTTTACACATCAACTAATTAATTATGCAAATTTTGATTAAATATTTTTCTAACATAGTTGTTTGCCACGTACATCAAAATGGTTCTCTTTCAGACACACAACCTAGAGTAATAACATTTTCATTAACAAAGGAATTTGTAAATATAAATTTGAATTTAGAGAATGAGAAGAGGTCAATTATAGGACAAATTGGTATATTGTTAAATGATGCTGTAGAAGATTATAGATAATTGAATTATCATATATTTTTTATTCATATGAAAGAAGGGTTGCTATAAACTACAATTTGGGTATTAAATTATTAGCAATATAACCTGAATATCATTTGATTGAATAATTTTATTTTTATTTATTTATTTATATAATTGTTGCTTAAAAATCCAATAGGATGCATCTGGTTCTCGAAGATTTTGAATCGAATCACCCGATGCCTAACTCTGCTTGCTAGTATTTTCACTAATGTCTATTGTGTAACTGGAGTAGTACTTACTAATCTAATTTTACGCATGGTCTTGTAATGAAGTTAGTCTTGCTAGAGTTATTGTTTAAGCTTTCACTCCATCATCTCATCTAATACTAGATTTTCCTCCTGTATATTCATAGACGAGGAAATAATCAATGCCAAATCATCTAAGCGAAGCCTGAAACAAGAATTTATATGTGGAACTTTAGGGCCCAATTACCATGTGATATTTTGTCACTATTAATTACAACATTGATTTTTTCCATCTCCAAAAATTATTAGCATTGTTAATTAAATAATATTTTCTCCATAATTAGTGCATCTGTGATGAATTACAAAAATCCTACTTGCACAGTCATCTGCAAAAATCCTACTGTTTGCGGTTTGGTATTAGTACTGATGGAACATTTAATCAAGCATTAAATGTTCCATCAGTACTAATACCAAACCGCAAACAGTATTCCGAAGCAAGAAAATGGATGCTGCGATTAGTGCTCCGGTTCAAGTTACACTGCAGAAATTGCTTGATCTCGCCACTCCAGACTTGAGCCTGGTGTGGGATTTCAAGAAAGACTTAAGAAAGTTAGACGGATCGTTGAAAATGATGGATTGTGTCTTACAAGATGCTGAGAAACGCGAAGTTACCGAGGAGGCTGTCGAACTCTGGCTCAAGAACCTTCGGGATGTTACTTACGATGCTGATCATGTCTTGGATGAGATCAACTATGAAAATATGCGTCATATGGTGGAGATCCAAAACCGGACTAAGATAAAGGGGTGCTTAAACATCTTTTCCTGTACCCCCCCTCTGGCATTCCGATGGAGGATGGCTCGCAGGATCAAGGACATCAACGTCGACTTGAAAATGATCGAAGAGAAAGCTAATACCTATGGCCTCCAGAGAGTTGCGAATTATGCTCTCATTGTGCCTCCGGCCCCGGAAACTGACAGCATAACTGTTGATCCAATTGTCGTTGGGAGACAAAATGATGAATCAGAAGTTGTGCGGCAGATAACTAGACCTGTCAATGAAGTTCTTTCAGTCCTTCCGATAGTTGGAATGGGAGGGCTTGGCAAGACAACCTTAGCTCGGTCGGTCTTCAATCACCAGCACACACACAGTCATTTCGCCCTTAGGATTTGGGTATGCGTTTCTGAAAATTTTGATGTGATGACGCTTTTTAAAAGGATTTTGGAGTCCTTAGGAAAAAGTTTTCAAGGAGCCAGCAGGCAAGCTGTTGTGGATAGGCTTCGAGAAAAATTGGAAGGCAAAAGATACTTGCTTGTTCTTGATGATTTGTGGAATGAAAATAGAGAAGCTTGGGAGGATTTCAAAAATACTATGGCTGGAATTAACCCCAACAGTGGAAATGTCATCATGGTGACTACACGTCAGCAAAGTGTGGCATCAATCGTGAGATCTTACAGAGATCCATACAGCTTGAAAGTATTAACAAATGATGAATGTTGGTCTATAATCAGAGCAAGGACCTTTGGAGATGCAGAAGTACCAGAACGATTTGAGAAAGTTGGAAAGGAGATTGCTCGAAAATGTAGAGGTCTGCCATTAGCAGCAAACATGGTCGGCGGAACTTTGCAAGGAAAGGAAGTAGATGAGTGGGATTCTGTTCTAGAGATCGGGCTTTCAAATCTTGAAGCAAATCCGAACAGTATAGAGCAAGTCTTAAAGATAAGCTTTGATCGTTTATCTTCTCCTTCACTTAAAAAATGTTTTGCCTATTGTTCAATATTTGCCAAGGATTCAAGAATAGAGAAAGAAGAGTTAATCCAACTCTGGATGGCGGAAGGATTTCTTCCAGATAATCCAGAAAATAATATGGAAAGTTTGGGCAATACATTTTTTAATATTCTGTTGCAAAATTCCTTCCTGCAAGAGGCCGTCAAGGATGATTATGGCAATATCGAATACTGCGAGATGCATGATCTTGTGCATGATCTCGCATGCTCAGTTTCAAATTCAGAAAGCTTTAATGCGGAGGTTATCATTGCTGACGACATTCCTAAAGTCAGATACCTTGCTACAAAATTACTTAAAGATGAAACACGAGTAACAAAAGAGAAAGCAAGTTATCTGCGTACGTTGATCATTTTGAGGAACAGCTTACCTGACAAAATTTTTCCATGGTTCAAGCACCTTCATGTTCTAAAGCTACCGTTTGCACATATTGAAGAATTGCCAACCTCGATTGGCAAGTTGATACATTTGAGATATCTTGATGCATGTGGAAATTATAAAATGAAAAATTTGCCAGATTCTATTTGCAAGCTCTACAATTTGCAAACATTAAGGCTTGGGATTTTCCTCCAACTTCAACGGCTTCCAGAAAGGCTATGCGACTTGAGTAATTTGAGACATCTCTACCTTTATAATTCTCACGAAGCTTTCCAGATGCCGCCTCAAATCGGGAAATTGTCTCGTCTTCAAACATTACCGTTTTTTAGAGTGGGTGACAAGGAAGGCTGCCGAATCGAAGAGCTAGGATTTCTGAAGAATCTTACAGGCAAACTGGATATATACAATCTTGAACTAGTGAATGGCATAGAAGAAGCTAAGAAGGCGGATTTGGTTGGAAAGCCAAAGATATATAAGTTACGTTTAATTTGGGGCACATACACTTGTAAGAATGTCTCAGAAGGCAACAACAACGATGAAAGTGTCCTCGAAGGCCTCCAACCTCACCAGAATTTGAAGAGCATAACAATTGAAGGGTCCAGAGGTTCAAACTTCCCATCATGGACTATGAGAATGGAAGTATTCCTTGATGGCGGTGGTTGGTTGAAACTTGATAAATTGATCAAGGTCGACTTNGTTGAAACTTGATAAATTGATCGAGATCAACCTCAGTAATTGCAAAAATTGTGAAGAAATTCCCATGTTTGGCCACCTGCCACTCCTCAAATATCTTACCTTAGACAGTTTGACTAACGTAAGATCCATAGGTCCTTTATTCTATGGTGGCCAAGAGACGAGAGTAATGTTCCCAGCACTTGAAAGACTCATTCTAAGGCACATGCCGAACCTAACAGAGTGGGCAGAAGCTGAGGTGATGCCAGTGGCGGAAACACGAACATGTAGAGAGCAGGTATTTCCTTGCCTTGAAGTTTTGAAGATTGAAAAATGCCACAAATTAAAGACTTCTCCAAGTCATTTCCCTTGCTAGTATTTCGTTGCCTTGAAGTTTTGGAGATTACATATTGCCCCAAATTGAATACTTCTCACATGCATTTCCCTTGCTTGAAAGAATTGGAGATTGATACTATGGATAGTGATTTTCCATTGACAAAGATTTTGAGTAGCAGCAACCTAACTTCTTTGGAAAAGTTCTCGATCAGGAATATATCAACGCTCACTTGTCTTCCCCACTTGAAAGGATGCCAGAAATATCTTCGAGAGTTGATTATTATAGATTGTGACAAATTGAGAGAATTACCTGATGATCGAAGTTTGCAATCAATTTCACATCAAAGTGGACAAAAAGTTCCCCCTTCTCTTCGAGAGTTGGGAATTGAGAATTGCACTGAGCAGAGCGGCCTATCAACTGAAATGACTGGATGCGAGAAACTCATTTCTTTTCCAATAGATTTGGGGGAATTGCCTTGTATCTCATGCTTAAAGATAAATAGTTGTCCTGAATTGATGAGTTTGCCCAAGGGAATTGGCCATCTTAGCAACTTAACAGACTTGGCCATTGGTGGATTCTCAGAATCAATTGATTTCAACTCATTCCAAGCTGCACTCGACGGCATCCAACAATCCAAATCCCTCTGGCGTTTGACTTTATATGGTTGGGAACATTGGGACTCATTGCCATATCAGCTTCAGCATCTCACTTCGCTCAAATACTTATGTTTAAATGGTTTTGGAATTGAAGCATTGCCAGAGTGGTTGGGGGTTCTGTCATCTCTTTTCTCATTAGAGCTGCGTAACTTCAAAAAGCTTAGGCATATGCCCTCTAAGCAAACGATGCAACGCCTCACCAAGCTAGAAAATTTATTTGTTCATCGTTGTCCATTGTTGGAGGAGAGGTGCAGGGAAGAAAGAGGCCCTGATTCTAAGTGGTCAAAGATTACACATATTCCTCGCATACTTGGAATGTGCCGACATGGTTAAAGAGGCCTGATATGCTAATATAGTTGGTAATTGAGCAAAACCACTTATAATTGTACATTATAATTATTTACTGTATGTCATAAATATAAACTAAAGATGCCTATGTAGTGTTATTAATTGGTAAATCGTCTTGTGTATTTCGCACACAACAGATCGCCAATATATCAATCGCTATTTATATTTGTAAGTACTTGTTATTATAATTATTTTCATTTGGTAAATTGAAATTCAAATTAAAGAACTCTATGGATTTGTTAATAGTTTATATTTTCACTATTTTGAATTTATTAATACAGTTTAAATTTGACATGGTGCTCTATTTGCCTGTCAATTATATTTATTCTTAACCTAGTATCAATTCTAAACTACATTAAGCCCCTATTTAATGCCCATTAAAAAGAATTTTTTTTGGAAAAAAATGATTTTTGGAATAATGATTTTTAGATAATGTGTGGGTAAAAAGTAAGGAAAAATTTTGAATTTACGTGCAAAATATTTTATTGTGAGAACGTATATTTGAAAATAAGTTTTAGAAAAAAAAAAGAGTTCTGGTAGACAAATAAGGACTAAAGTTATTTTCTAAATTTCACTCAAATATCTATGTGCAAAATTAATTTATTTTTCCTTTCATTGTTGTCAATGGAACGTAGGCATAGATTAGTCAAATGTTCGAGGTAAAATATGCATTTTGAATTTTTGATGGAGTTTGAGCAAAAATAAACTTCTTCAGCAAAGATTCTTGAGGTAGCTCTCTTTCAACAATAGTTCAAGAATGATTGCAAAAATTGTGCTTGGAATCCAAAGTGCGGGGAGTCTATGAATTGTTGGTTCTTAATACTCTATACCTCCAGACCATTTTGCTTCCAAATATTTTCTGTTTTTATTATTATGATTACCTAGAAGCATTTACAACCCCATTGACATTACCTTGTTTATATTATAATTTATAAACTAAGTCTCGATCTTGCAAGAATGACTTCTTTTCAAGAAAGAGGGTTACATGTGTATGTGTGACCAAGAAGAAGTTGTTGGCTTAATTAGTGGCTTGTCTCGTCTCGTTGACATATCCGGCGCCAATTCTGTTATAGTAAGCATGTTGGAAGTGATCGTAGGCGATGTTCTATTAACAATTGAATCACTCTTAATTATTGTATAAAGAAGTGGCTAGAGATAAATTTGGGATCGGCTACTTGTTTCTTTTTTGCCCGCTTCACATTTTGTAACTATATCTACCCATAGATATTGTCATAAAAAAGGTAAGAATAAATCTACTTGTACATTATGGATGACATTCCCCTCTATGTAAAATATCTAGCCAGTTATTTAAAGGAGTATGTTTAAAATCAATAGTCATGATAGCTGTTACATCAAACAATGTCAAATTTAATGTCATTCATAATATACATGTACCAAAAGTGGAGACAATGCTGCAAAAGTATTGTCTTAATCATGGATGGTATTCCACTTCGAAAGGACCCACCCTCAAATGGGATTTCCCTCTTAATCGGGTTAGTGGGGGCAGGGGCAGGGGCAGGGTAGAAAATTCTATCACGAGATGAGTGCTGATAGGAATAGGGGATGAGATCTTCATTCCAGACCTGTCCCAAATAACTTTTATTAACTTTAATATAATGTAATTATTTACACACAATATATTTAATCAAGTCAATTTAAAACATTGAACTGTAAGGCCATAAATTCACTTCATGGTCCATATAACGATGATTTTTTAAATATGTTCACCTCTCTTTTTTACAGACTATTTTTTCAACTTGAACCCACCCTGAATAAATTTTTCTCTTACTCAACATTCAACCATATAAAAACATGGAGAACTGCACACGGGGCTTACAGGTGATCCATTCAGCCTTTCGAAGCTTTGATTTTTGATAATCAAAATTGGTTATGAAGTCATACGTGAGTAATTCCCCTTGTACAAGGGAGAACTGTACACGGGGCTTACTGGTGCTGCACCATGGCTGCATTTTTTCTCTTTGTTTGCCAATTCCCAATAAGAAAATGACATGCCCTCGCAGTAAAATCCATGTACAACTTTCCCCTATCCCTATGCACAAAGCATAACTCGTCATGTATTATAGGGTGGCTGGTGGGTGTGTGTGTACATTTTTTTATGGCATTGTTCTTCAGTCTTGTGCATTTGCTTTTTCAAATAAGAAAATCAGGGATTCCCACTTGGCTTGCCCGTGCATCTTCCAAGGCATAGTATAGGTACATGTATGATGTGGTCAGGAAGAATGAATAGTAATAGGAAGAAAAAGAATCTAAATTGGTCCGTAATACTGTCTAGTCTTGTAGAATCCAAAGTTATTTTACCTGCTTCAACACCTAGAAACGAAAACTAGAAAGGGGAAAAACATTATAGAATTCATCACAGGCTGCAATTGCAATGCTATTCATAACTATAAACATCAAAAGTTTTAGAAGAACTATAATTAACGTCTACACATGAAAGAATTTTAAAAATGATGAATAATGGTGAAGACGTAAGACTCTGTGGTTGCTACCTTCAGACGGGCTATTGACCCCAATTTATACCACACAATAAAACATGAAGCAAGTACAACTAGCAATTTGGGAAATGAAAGCTGAAGGTTCAATGGCAGTTCAAAGAACTGCTAAGCAAGCATTAATCTATTCTAATTGGCATGAAATGCGATCTCATATGGCGACCAGGACCTACAAGTGACAAACTCATTACTCACTTCTACTGGTATAAAAGAAAATGCACCAAGGGGGTTCAAAATTGTTTACTCTCAATCAAGTAATTGACCAAAGTATTCATGTTAAAAATACTTATACCGGGCCTTCACCCCCAAAAGATAGAGAGATCCTTTAATCCCTTGTTTGAAAGTGATTTATTGAAAATCACTTGTGTCCCACTCTCATTTTAAAACACACCTCCCAAAAAAATAAAAAAATTCAACTTTTCAAAAAAAATTCCCAACTCTTTAAATGTACATCCTCCAAAAAATCACTTTTCGAAGTATCACGATCACTAAATGTAGGGTTCCATATCTTCTTTTGAAAGAGGGCTGCCGGCCTGACCTCCTGAGTCAAATTTCATAACATGAATTGCAACTTACAAGAGCAAGGTACTGAAACGGCAATTCATTGACATCTCCCCTTCGTCGATTTGTATAGTGTTTATGCACAACAATTTTACAGTGTTAAAGTATGTTATTATTTGACTAAAGAAAAAGAACTTACAAGGAAGTTGAAACGTAATATTAGCAAGGTTCTTAATATTTCGACAAAGATGTGGTCGCTATGTTTGAATGATTGACGCTGATGTTTTTGAAGGTTGGGGAGTTTTTGAAGCCTAGGCATTGAGAAACAAACGATAAAGTAGTCAAAAGATTCAAAAGTCATTAAGGATAGCACGAGAGAAGAATCTCAAAATGCTTGAAAGGAGGAGGAAGAAAAGAAAAGGCATATCTGGTTCAGATATGATTTGTACAATTGAAGTAATAGTGATCTCCGATACACTGTGGTTATCAGAAAACATTCCAAAAGAAATGCCAAATTGAAAACGATCAGGTAATAAGCAAAGTTGTTTCGAACATGCATATCCAAATTTAGATCATCCAAGAAGCATATTGAATTTTAAATTATATGAGATTAATATTACATACAAACTGAGAAAGATAATCTTCTAGCAGTTGAAAGTCAAAGTCTGCTCATATAAATATGAAAGCATGCACAACAATTTCACACAAGTATTTTGCCAGAGTATGAAAACTTGCTCAAATTGCAGTTATTGATAATTTACACACTAGGAGGTGTGTATGCATACTAGAATGGACAACATATTAAATGACTATATACTAACTAGTGGACATGACACCAATTCAGGATAAAACAATAAAGATAAGCACAAATTTATTTGAAACAAGGTTCATTTGTTTCACCGATTCTATGGTATCTTATGTTTCCTGTATCTGATACCAAATTTATTTAAAACAAGGTTTTGGTATGGTTCATTATCAGCTACATTTCCCAGCTACTAGCAATGATGTCATACTTAAAAACAGAAATGCAGTATTTCTTCGAGCTGGAGGCAAATTTTTAAAGTCTAGTAGTAACTTAATACACTCTAGGAGTATGATAGCTAATATAATTCTACTTCTTCATTGAGAATTTAATTGAGCGTCCAAAAGGTAATACCTATAACTTGTCTGCATCTGCATTACTTTTGTGATCAACATCCACATTGACATGTGCCGCATAGGAGTTGGACTCACTTTCTTGACCACCTTGATTAATAAGTTGGGAGAAGCCCTCACCAAGTGATTTCCAAAATCTCGTTGGAAGAGACGATTGTAAATACTCCATGCTCTTCTCAGAACGCAGTTCAACTTGCCTTGCTGAAGTAGAATATTAAGCTCAGAAAATCTAACGGCTCCTAAGATTCTTTCTGGAAGCTCTGATTCAGTTTGACCCTCGATGAGAAAAGATAAGTCAACAGTAAGTGTTGTTATGTAATTAAATGCTAGATGAACAATAGCATTTGCAACCGCTGAAGATCCAAATGCCAACGTTAGAACCCATAACCATAAGTTCTGTTGAGTTTTATCTGGAAAAAATATTAATGAATGATGAAACAGTGAAATCACAAATGCCAAGATGCATTTTTGTGCATGATAATCTGCATTTTTTACTAATCAATTATTTGGTAACTTTTGATTTATTATGGTTAATCTAATGTGGACTAGGTATCCAGGTCCCACGAGTTGGTTAATATAATGTGGACTAGGTAATTTTGATTTCATATTTTGAAAAAAAAAAATTTACAGGGTGTCCTCAACTAAAATTTTGATGGATTTTAAAAGACTATAAATCTTAATGAATTTTGTGGATTTGAATATATTTCCACAAATTCCATAAGAATTTCATTAAATATGGTGAAATTTCAAAAGATTTGGTTATATGTATTTTTAAACTTGAAATCCATCCAAATCTTTTAAAATCCATCCATTAATAAAAATTTCACAAATCTACCTAAATTTTGAAGGATTTCATTGAAATTTAAATTGGGGACACCTAAATTTTAATGAATTTCATTAAAATCTATTAAAGTCTCAATTGAAAAGACCTAAATTTAGAAGGATTTTTAAAATCCATCACAATCTCAATTGAGGACACTCCTCTTGATAATAAGATTTTAAATAATTATAGACAAATTATTTTTTATATTAAAGAAATTGATAAATTTTAAATTTTATGAATTTTAAACATAAGCATGCAAATTCTAGAAGTTCAGTTTCTGATACTAGTAAAATGTGAAAAAAATTTGGCCTTCTATGAGGCTAGAGGTGTCAATCCGGGTGGTCCGGGCCGGGTCGGCCCGCCAACATGTGAGCCCGGTAACGGCCCGCATGAAAAAAAGCCCGCCCGCTGCGGGTTCCGGGCCGGTTACGGGTCGGCCCACAATTTTGGACTACAACCCAGGCCCGCCCTCTGACCCATCCGGGTCGAGCCCATGCGGGTCGCGGTTCGTTCCGATTTGGCCCGTNTTTTCACGGGTCATGGCCGGCCCATCCGTCTTGACACCTCTATATGAGGCAGATAATGCAAGTGTACTATATGATTTCACTTTCAAGTTTTTAGGTGCAGTTGAGTGTTACTATGATTTCACTTTCAATAGGATTGTGTACTATATAATGTCCGTATGACTCGTCTTGCACACACATAAAAAACAACAAATCAAGTCTTATTCTCAACCCGTAGACTACGTTCTACAATTTCTCGTCATTTCTACCATGTCATCGGATATTATGACAAGACATATTTATCTTCTTTTCTTTTAGTATAGTTTGGACAAAATGGATCAATGAATCATTTTTACTCTAAAGACTAGTTTACATAAATTTCCACAGGCTAAAGTGTTCCATTATGGATCTATAAGCTTGATCGTGGAGCCATGCAGGTAAGCACATTTGAAGGCAATGCAGGTGGCCAAGGATGCCAGGGAATTGCTCCCATACAAGATTGATGATTCTGCAATGTCCTTATGGCACGACAATTTGAAGCTTTGCTTACCGACCCTTGGAGAAAACCTTGGAGAAAAGGGCTGCAGATATTACAATAAGCTATGTTTAATAGTTAGTTTCAGATTCTCAATTTCTATAGTTTAGAGCATTAATGCTATAATGGTTACGTGAGGCTCTTAAAAGAAGAAACAGCCTTTGTCTCTGTCTATATATATATTATTTTTAACAATTGTGGAAGACAGTGGTGTATTCTTAATGTTATCATTTGGCAGATAGTAGCATTACTTATGTCTCTGGCTGCATTTGGTGCATCTCCTAACCATTTCTTTATACTATTTGAAAAATGCAATTCTTGTGGCTCTAAATTTATAATTATTTTGGGTTTCGTTCTATTCTATGAGAAACATTCAGTTCTCCTTATTAAGAATATATTTGGATAATTTTCTGAAAGTGTATTATCTAATCAGAAAAGATTTTAGAGGAATATGGCACTAGGTAAGTTCCTCGTAAAATCCTACTATAAGAAGCGGAAACTTTGTCAAACGGGCCATAAGTTTGAAATACTTGGTTTATTGGCTTATCTTAAGGTATGAAAAGAAAATAATAGCTAACAGAATAATGTTTTTACCATAATTCATTGAAGAGACATTCATTACTGCATTGAAAAAAATAAATAAATAAATTCGTACACGGTGGTTGGATATTTATGGTACAAAGAGTATATTTCCTTGAAATTCCAATGGTAGAAAAATGTTCTAAGAAAAGAGATATTATGACACTGATGTGACTATTCTAAAGGCCCTGTTTGACAACCATTATTTAAAAACTTTTTTTCTACATCCTCATTTTCAACCACACATTCACACAATAAAATATTTTACAAATTTTTGCTACTTTTTAAGTACATATTCTTTGAAAATTCACTATTCAAAACTCAATTTTAGTGAAATAATGATTATGAAACAGGTGTTAAATAAACTAAAAAACAACCACCACAACTTGAATTATATACCGTTCGCAGCTTAAAAAGCTACCCACAGTAGCCCATTTTGAACCACACCTTGTCACTTCCATCCCCTCTATCTTTGATACCAATATACGTTTAAGTTTGCATAAGTTATTTCTTTCTCTTCCTCCTCCTTTTTGTTTCTTATAATAATTCTTTATCCTGCATATTCCTTCTTTTATTCCATGTTTTTTTAATGTCAAGAATTATTAGAATAACAAAAACATCTTCCCTGTTATTACTATATTTGCTCAACTACTGAATTATGGAGAGAGTCAACCAATAAACCAAGCCTTATGCTCAAAAAACTACATATAATTAATTATTTGTGCTAGATGTTGCTCATAATGCAAAAATGTACTAAGTGTTAACATTATTTCTATAAACCTTAAATTTGTGTCTGTCCCTTGTTGGTAAATAGAATTTCCATGGATCAATTAATGGCAACCACGTCAAGGCAATATACACAACAGGAGCTGGAGATTCTTTTGTGGGAGCCCTTCATGGCATAATCCAGGTAATTTCTTGATAATATTGTTTATGTATTACACATTCTAATTACGTTTAGAATTTTTCTAACACTAATTCTATTGATTTCTTGATTTCCAGGATGAGCCTAAATTGAAGGAGTGCTTAAAATTTGCATGTGCCTGTCGAGCAATCATAACGACTAAAAAGGGAGCCATCCCACTCTCCCAACCAAGAAAGTAGTCCTCACTGTTCTCCAAGGAGGAAAATAGAGGAAAGGGTTTCCTCCTTTCCTAATTTTGATTTTTGACATGTTTTTGCAGACATGATTTGGTATTGTTTGCAATTCCTAATAGGTTTCCTATTTCTCAATTTCAGGTTTTCTTTCTATTTCCTTGTAAGGGTGCAATAATTTCTTTTATATGTTAAATAAATAATGATTCATCATATTTTTCAATTGCTCTTAAGAATGCTGTTGGCTTTCAGCTGCAGCCGTCATTGAAATCTTCTTTTTCCTTTTCCTACAAGTGGTTTCATAGGCACTGCTATTGAATGCACGTTACATATACGGTAGGTAAAATACTAAACACGATTAAAGCAGAAAATACTTCCAACTTTAGATATAAAATCCAGCTTAAAACGAACTTATTTCCCTCCCCTATACTATAACATAAAAAGGAAAGGTGAGATTATTTTTGGTTTACACTATAATAACATACTTATGTGTTAGACCTGTTTCACATCCCTCAAACTTCAGCTAATCACTTTTCCCACAAATTGCACCTCAGACAATAACATTGGTCTTATTTTTGTTCAAAGAGATTATTCAGCCAAGATTGATTCTGTTGAGGCTACTCTCCTGATATTCATGTTAAAACTAGTGTCAGTTACTTCTAAGTTAGAATGCTTTGAAACGGAATATGACTATATTTGCAGACATTATTGTTCAAGGATGCTGGGAATCTGTCTATACCAACTTAATGTGTACTCCAGAGTGAAAAGAAAGGGAGTAGTATAAACAAAAACCTTTCATGTTCTCTGAATCCTGATAAATTTATGTAAAGAAAGCAATAAAATTTCTACTATCACAAGCTAATACGTTGGTGATTTTGGAGGCAAACCTTCTTGCAATGTTCTGAAAATGCACAAAATCATTTTAGCAGTTGCGTACTGTTGAAAATTAGAAAAGGAGGCTGAAACACAAACAAAAGAGGAGGCAAAACCGGAAATGGAGGGCTTGAAACATGTAAAGGGAACTCTTTCCTTAAAACAATATTTGCACCCTCTTGGTTTGAAATTGCTAACTGGCTTCTACAACAACTAATTTCAAGGATATGACAAGCTTTAGGCAAATATGCAAACTCACTTAAGGGAACAGGAATTGTTTGAAGTGTGAATGGCTTGCTTAAAGTGCTTGCTCATACAATCTCTTAAATTGTCGAACACACTATTCTTGTTTATACTTGAACAAAATTCAAGTAGTACTTCACTAAGTGCTTGTAACAAAGGTATCAACATACACTGACCCCAAACATGCTTGAAGATGGTACGTGAAGTCATTTGGGTGGCTCACATACTTTTTCTTTCTAATGCTTATAAACCACCCAAACTCCGTGGAGTCACCTAATTACGAAAATGAGCTAATTGGACACAGGAGTCAGGTCTGCACTAGGTAAGTTAAGATTTGAGTGCTACCCAACAATGAACTTAAAATTGAAATTTGAATGATATTCGAAAGCCCAGATCATCAGTTCTTCATTTACTAGTTAAAAGAAAACAAATGCTATTAAAAGAAAAAAAAAGAAAAAGAAAATCACGATAGACAAAAATTGAGAAAATGATATAAACAGGCAGACAACGAATTACCTGCTTGGAATAAGGCCTTAATCACCATTGAATTTGAGAAATTCACAACCCAAACTCCCTATGTTCCACTAACTGTAAATCCTCATCCATTGTCGAAATCGTAGAGGTAAGGCAAAGGGAGTAAAAGGTTAATTTTGGTTCTCTCATCTCCTCATGTGAAATCTGATGCATCAAAATCGATTTTAATAGCAATAAAATTTAGAAGCTCTGAATTGACCAAAAAATAAAAAAGAAAGAAAGAATGTAAGAGGAGTTGTCAAAGTTTTTCATCAATAATATTGCGTGTGAAATTAGAATGGTAGAGACTTTGCTATTAACGAGTATGGAAAAATTATGATTTCACTTATAAAATTATTTTATTAAGAAAATATAAAGTTGAAAATGAATTTAAGAAAAAATAAAAAAAAATCTATCATTACCATTATTGATGATATTATTGTACATCATTAGTAATATATGTAGCCCATAAATGAAATTGTTGGAATGTTACTGAGGTGTAGTTATTTTCTCAAAAAAAAAAACTCACGTAGTTTTAGGTGCATATTTACTTTTTGTTTTAGCCCACCCTAATATTTATCTCTGGTTCTGCCCTATTATAGCTATATTCAACAAGGAAAATGTTAAGTGTACATAATAAATGTATACAATGGATGACATAAGGTGATGTGACAATCATCTTGTCGTTGATGTGAAAGTGTCAGATTTAAATTAAAGGTGTTGATCAATGTCACTTGTAATTATGTAGATCATTATGTACTTGTAGCATCACTCATTCAACAATCCTCTCTTCTCTACTTCCATAGTATTTATTCCTAAGTTCATAATGCTTCATCTTGGTCACTACATTGTCCAATTACCTTTTGTACATTTTTTAACAAGATTGTACAATTAAGTACATTATTATCTCATAAAAGTTGATAAAATATATCATCGAAAAGGCGGTAAAATTTGTAAGTTCCATGAAATGTACAATCGAAAATGAATTTGAAAAAAGAATGAATTTTAAAAAAATGAGACTAAATAGGACTTCATCAACAAGTTTTTTGAACACGTTGGACCTTGTTTTTTCTACAAAGGAGGTTGGCTTTACCGAGCGTGATTCTATTATTTAATTAACTTGAGTTTTGTATCTAAAAGTCTGAAATCCGTTGTATTATCATGTGGACTATTGGACAACTTAATGAAGATTTAAAAGATTTTTGTCGTTGACAACTAATTGTACATGTTATAAAGAAAGGTTGCCCACATGACACATCTCCAAGTGATAAAAGGGGAAGATGGAAAAACTCCAACTTTACTTGAGATTGTCGCGTTAAGGGTTCAAATCTTGAAATATGGATTTGACCATTGGGTAAGTGTAAGTGTACAAACAGTCTTCTACCCTATACTCTTGAAGGCATAATCTGCGATTTACCTCCATCACCAAAGTCTAGGACAAGACAGGTGGGGATTGTCAAGGATGCGTCTCATCCTTTTATAAAGAAAGGTTGGCGACTTACACAATAGAACAAATAGAATGTGCGCTTAGGATGCAATTTTCCCTATCCTAATTCATCAAATATTTGAAAACCTCTATAAATAGTCGTTGGTCAGCCATACACTGATTGGTAACATGTCAATCAAGAAAGTATTACAAACTGAGGCAGTAAAATTACTAGAAATGAAGTATTACAACTTTTGAAAACTCACATTAACTTCTCTATTTCTAATCTTGAGTATTTTCTTTTCATAATGACATTTTAGATATATCAATCGCTTTTTAAAATATATGTCTCAAAAAGGGGCCCCGATTATGTACGTGATACTTAAAACTAAAATATGAAAGGTTAAGGTGACGACATGAAATGTCTCTTATATTCTCTAAGAGATGCTAATTGTATGACTAGCAAAACTTTAATACTTTCATGTATTACAAGTCGTAGGTCAGGTACAAATAATAATTAAATTATGACTAGGAAAAATCGTGAAAAAATATATGAGTTGATAACTTAATGAGTGAAGAAGTTAAAAAATAATTATACTTTCTCATTTATATACATTTTTATCAAAAATCAAATTGACATTATTTAACATTTCACAATATAAGAACATATAATGATAATCAAGATGTGAAACCTCATCATAATCCTGTAAAATATCATCTCATAGTCATGCTATAATCATCTACTATATCCATAATATAATCTCATCATAGCAAATGTAAGGAAAAATCACCAAAAATGTATCATCTAATTAAAATCAATAATCTAGTTATACGCGCGTAGACTGTCTCTCGGGCTAAGCACTCCAAACACGGGCCCCGAGCCCCCTTAGTAAATGGAAGTAGTGTCAATCATAATCAAGTGTAGAGCATGGTCAATGTCTCTCAGTGAATTATATGTACACGGTCAAGACCCCTCAGTGTAATATAGAACACGATCAATGCCCATCAAAGAACTAGAAGAAGTACATAATCACGGTACTTTTTTGGCTGATCTCAATACCATATCATACATTTCAATTCACAAATACTCCATATACAATATTTGAAATTCCACATATATCATAATGAAAGAATATTTCTACATTAATCATGTAATTGGACAAATAATACACATAATTAATACAATCAAGTTTTTCCACTCACCAAGTCGTAGAGCGATCACGACTTTGACCTTCTTGTCACCTCCTCATTCCAACTACTAAGTATGATATCTCGCTCTCGCCCCCAAAAGATCATATCTCTTCATAAAGGTGCCTCAAACATTTTCCCTACCATTGAAATAAGAGTTCATTAAGGGCCTGTTTGATAAGCCATTATTTTTCATGGAAAATAGAAGACAAATCTCAACTTCCACTTTTGCCTTGTTTGATACCCTTTGTTTCCATGGAATTCATATTCTTGGTTTGGCTCACATGCTCACATTTTCCTTGGTTTTGTGGAAAACCAATTTTCACCAATTTGGTGAAAATTGATTTTTCAGCATTTTTTTTCAATTGGAAAAAATTCTAGACATAATAGTAAAACAATTTATCACTTTTATTGATAATTTACATGCAAAATAAAGTCAAATGAATGGTATTCAGTATGATAATTTTTTTTCAATTTTTTTTCGCAATCAAAATAAATTCTAGACCCAATGGTAGAAAAAATTATCATTTTAATGGACAATTTTCAATAAAAACAAAATCAAACGGATACCAAACTTTCAACATTTTTCAAGTGAAAAATTATACCAATAACACAGTTAATTACAATTCACAATAAAACAATTTCTAGATAATTCAATTTCTTGTAAAACATTTTCTTTCCACCAATTTTCCACATTTGCAATCAAACGGACCCTAATAGAAACTTGATGCCTTTTATTTTCAATCTCATAATCCTAACTATAATC